GGCCCCACTTTGGGCACCCCTGATCTATGCCATTTGTCCTGTAGAGGGTTGCAGGGGGACGGGAGCCAGTTACATCTGACATTGGATGAGAGGTGGGGTACACCCTGGAGAGGTTGCCATTTTCTCACAGAACTGACACATAGAGACAGACAACCTTTCAGTTTAGTGTTGGTCGTCAACCTGACTGGAGAAATTCTTTGCAAACATGGGGAGAACATGCCAAATTTCGCACAGAAAGGCACTGGTTTGCCTCTAGGTTTGAACTCAGGTGACAGTGCTAACCACTGCATCACTATGCCTCCTCCCAAAACCTCAATAAAGCAAATATACTACCAAACCTACAAAATGCTTAAGTACATCAAGTGCCACAAAATGGAAACATTTGAGAATATCATGCAGTTTAGTACACTAGCACAACATCACAAGGGGTTGAATCAACTTTTGTCATAGTCTGCATTAAAACTTTACTGTATACAGATGTAACGTTTATTGCAGGACAGTCTTGTCAGATTGCATTATATTTTCAAGGTTCTTTGCTTAATTCCTTTTGTGGAACTTTATTATCCTTCAGTTATCAGGGATGTCTCAAACACAAAAATGTGGAGAAACTAGCTCAAAATGGAAAAATCCAGGGCATTTGCAGCATTTTTTTAGTCTATAGCAAGAAACCTAAATCTGACTCTGTAATCTTCCAATGAAAATGCTACTTTTCACCATCATATATCTTTGTATTTACAAGCATGTAGTTACCACTCTGTTAAAAATGTTGTATAATACTTTACTTTTTAAATAGACATGCTCTGAAGTTTTTTGCATTAAACAAAGTATGAAATTTGTATTCTTTGTAATTAACTGAATACAAGTATACTTCTCAGTTCATTTTGATTTGACTAAGGTAATTCCAGTTTGAACATCTAATGTAATGCTTAATAAGAACAAATATTAAATATCAATTGTATTTTTATATGATCTACATGTTTTTGATAAAATGATTCTTCCAAAATGATGAAACACTGTTATTAACTGTGCATTATCAGCATCTAACCTTTCCTTTTCCTTGTCATGTTTTATCTCCCTCTTCTTTCAGGCGTGAGCTGTGATGCATGTTTAAAAGGCAACTTCAGAGGTCGGCGATACAAATGTTTAATTTGCTACGACTACGATCTGTGCGCATCGTGCTATGAGAGCGGTGCAACCACGACTAGACACACCACAGAGCATCCCATGCAGTGTATATTAACTCGCGTTGACTTTGGTAAGTAGAGGTGATATTCACATCAGGCTAATTATGAGCAGAGTGCCTGTCCAGGTTGTGAAAATATGTGTGAATTGAGCCATATGAGCGGTCTGTTGTTGTGACTAATAATGTTTCGTAGCACTTTACCTTGGCAGATGGTGATAATCAGCTGACAACCAGGCAAGCCAATACAGATGTTGAGCACAGTGTATGAACATTTGCTGCATCTCTACATTTCAGCTCTAAAATTAACTCACAGTTTATCACCTGTGTCACTTGTGAGTCGGACATTATTTTAAGCTGAGTATCAACATTGAACTCTCAGCAAACATTATGACTTTATCTGCAAGAGAGGTTGTGTATGTGTGTGCATGTGATTGACCAGTTGCAAGATTGTCGTGGCACAGTATGCCAGAAACAAAGAATAAATAGCTTTGTAAACAAATGGTATTTTCAAACTTAGTGTTTTCTTTTACAGTGTATGTAAATATGGCACAGATGCCCAGAACTGGGATTTCTTGTCATGTTATAATCAACAAGATAAAGCCTTAATGCTGGAATCTCTGGAACCCTCCCATCAGTGTGTTTAATGAGCCTGGAGAATTAAAACTGTTTCAGTTGAGGTTATCTTGTGCTGGCACTGCCGTTTGCTTTCAGACAGGAAGGCTGCTCCCAAATGGTTTAGCGGTGATTCACTGACCCAGACAGCCTGAGGAGGTTTTGAGTGGCTTTTGGCTTTGTATAATCTGTACATAAAACATTTTGCTGTAGCGATGATCAGGACAGAAATAGTCCAATCCTAGTTGGACCATAGTGGTAAGTTCAGTTACTAAAAATGTGCTATGAAATTTAGAATAGTAATAAGATTTAGATTTTTATTTTGATTGAATGCACATAGTTTGTCTGCTTTTCAGTGACTGCTTCAGCCATTTCTTTTATGCATTGGTGCTGTGAAATATGTTTGTATTCAGCCTTTCACACATTGGAAATGCAATCTGCTGGAAAAAATAAACTGTTGCAGAGAATACAGCAGAAGGTGCAAGCTGACATACAAGTCCTCATTTTTATGGCTGTTTTTTTGTGTGTTCCACCAACTGAACCAACAGTTTTATTGTGGTTTTCTTTTATTTAGATACAAATGCACCTAATTTTAATGGTAGAATCGAACAAATTGTTAGTGTTTTGATGGAAGGGAATGACACAAAGCGGTCACGAGAGCCAAATGCTAGATTTTTTTTATTTTTTTTTCTCTTTTAAATGGACTCTTGTAATATTCCCAACTGGCAGGTTTTTGCTGTTGCTGCTGCTGTTTTTTTTTTTGCTGTAGTTGTGCTTTTTATACAAGCTAGGTGCTTTTATATGCAGTAGCATTTCTTTAAAGGTGCATTAATCAGTGTCATAATAGTAACAGTGATGATGTGTAATGTGGAAATGGCTCACTCATACTGACAAACCGACAGTTATCGTCAGACTCTGCAGACTCACTCAGCTCTGTGGAATTCATTCTTTCTGTTTCAGTTTTTATGACCTGCAAGTGGTACTTGTTTGGTTTGGTCTCTCAGCTGTCATCAGCATTTAAAGCCTTACCTGCCCAGCACCAGATTGCAGCCAGACGAAGGTGGTGGCTAGATGGTGGTCATAGTGGTGCTATTATCAACTAAAGAACTAGGAAGTTCCCCCAAAAGCTGAAAGAGATTGCAGCCAGACGAAGGTGGTGGCTAGTTGGTGGTCATAGCGGTGCTATTATCAACTAAAGAACAAGGAAGTTCCCCCAAAAGTTGAAAGACATGAAAACATAGCTTGTAGGAAAGTGAAAATTCCACATAGTTTATCAGGTGGACAGAGACTAATGCTGGTGCTCTGTATCGGTTAACATGGTTATGAACACTACAGTGTTAGTGTTGGCATTTGCTTTGGACAACTCCAGGTGGTTATAAAACACACACTTAATGCAGTTTTAGGTAATGCTGTCAGAAAAGCAAGATGCTACACTGTCATTAAATAGACTGCTGGAATAGGTTAGCTGTGGCTGCAGGCAGTAGTTTATGTGCATAGGCTAGGAATTGTTTCCTGTAACGTGACAAAGATAAACATTACTGTGGTTAATGGGGAAGCATCTCATCAACTTAACTTGTCTGAACTGACCTCATTTAATAATTAATCTTGTCCAAACAGTCTTTAATGTAACTTTATATGCAGTTACATCCTGGTAAAATATGCATTTTGAAGATTTAACCATCTATTATTGTCGGACACTTTTCACCAGTGTCCACACTCTTGAGTTTGTGATTTTTCTATCATGTGAGTAACACTGCAGTGGGTTAAAACATATTAAAACACCGAATGCCATGTCAATCTCAATTCCTCTCCAGACCTGTACTACGGTGGAGAAGCGTTCTCAGTGGATCAGCCCCAGGCCTTCACATGTCCCTACTGTGGCAGGATGGGCTACACAGAAATCTCCTTGCAGGAGCACGTGGCTGCAGAGCACACAGAGACCTCCACAGAAGTGGTTAGTTGATGCTGAATTACATACACAGTACATCTGTTAGACCTTGATGAAATGTTTGTACAGATCTTAACACCTGGAAATATTTTTGTTTGTGTTCATTTTCTCAGCACACCTTAGAAATTTTTCTCAGTTGAGTAAATTGATTCATTGTCTGAGAACGTCTTTCAAATTGAGCACTGTTGGTGCTGATAGTGTGCTGTTAACACCTTATTTATTGTCTTGTTTCATAATGTCACAATCCAAGTGAAGTCAGGTAGACTGTAGCTACTTAGTTTTTCTTTTTGACAGCAGGAAACAGTGTTTAACTGCTGAGAAATACTTTCATGAACCTATGAGGCCATGTACTATACACTTTGCATGCCAGCTGACCTTTGTCCAGTGCATGATATTTTAGATTTTGCAATTCTTCCACACAGCTTCTAATTTTCATTTTAAAAGCAAATATGAATCAACTGCAGATTATTCAAACTTGATGAGAGAGGTCCAGATCATTATGATGATGCGTGAATGGAGTTGTCTGCCTTTGTGGTCCATTTTGAAATTGTTTTTGCTTAGTCAAGGCCAAATCTATTTCCACAGTGTGAACAGAGCCTTTAAGATAGAAGAGTTGCAACACTGAGGGGTCAAAAAACGGCAGCAGGTCACCTGATTCATGTAGCTTCAAATAGTTCCTAACAGTTGATTCAGATCCACTGTTTTCTAGAGGGAACAGTGGGATTTCTCAGCAAATTATGACTTTTAATGACTTGTACAGCATTGCAAACCATTTCTCTGTTCTGTTGTTGTTGATGGCTAATTTAACTCATTAGCTTGGTACCAAATTTTTTCAAAGTGACGATATTTGAGAGACAGTCATAAGGTTGCAAAACACGTTTTGACATGTCACTGATTTTAATATGTCAAGTATAATTACCGCTGTTGATTTGAACTTCTTACTTTAAGATAGCAGCCACATTTTAATATTGCGAGATCTCATCACACCCCTAGTCATAACTCGTAGCTGACCTGAAGCAGTGTAGGTAAGGTGTTGTCGGTTGGTGAGAAAATGATGGTCAGGGCAGCCACTTATTGTCTTAATGTGTGAAAATGACCTTGTAGGTCATGAAGTATTGTTTTGGTTTGTTACGTTATACTAATAATTTGTGCTGGCCTTTATGGCAATAAATTATTGTTCTTTGAATTGAAAAAGGATGTTTTCAAAAAAAGTAACTTTGATTTTCCAACAACAAACCCAAAACCAAATGGTACAGCAGCACAGCTCATGTCATTTAGTTTGTCAGCTTACTAACCAGTAAATTAACTCAAACTGTCCAAGTCAATTTGTGCATTCTCATCCTGGTTGTTGTCGTTATAACATGCTCAGCATAGAGCTGCAGCTTTTTCTCTTCAGGTTTAAATGCGGCAGTTGCACAGGAGATATTTACCAGTCTGTTTGCTCAAGAGGACTCTGGGCCAACTGGTGGATGTCAAATGTGTGCTGATATTGATGTGTACACTCTCTCTTCCTATCCTTTAGATCTGCCCCATATGTGCAGCACTGCCAGGTGGCGACCCAAATCATGTGACAGATGACTTTGCTGCTCATCTCACACTTGAACACAGAGCACCAAGAGACTTGATATCCTTTTCAAATAGAAGTCCCGCCTCCACAGACATGACAAGAACAATAGTGACTGTAAAAAAAAGAATTTGTGCATCAGTCACAGAAGCAGATATTTCAAGGTTTCTGTGTGGAACCTACTCGGGTAGTTATGCTAAGTAAATGAAGTGATACAGTTTTTGTTTAAAACTAAATATGTCTCATGTCACTGTGATATAATTGAGGGACTGGTGTCAAGGGAAAGGAGGAGGAATGTTTTCCTTGAATGTGAGGACTGCAAACTGAAACCACACATTCATGTGTGATGTAGATTGAATCAACCCAATAGGAAAGACAGTGCCTAAAGCAGAGGACAGTTATCTTAAAGCTGAGGACAGGCTCATCTTATCTGTTAATTATTTTGGAATCTCTGTAGAACTTGAGGCTCAGCTGAAGTTTGTCATTTACAGTGGGTACGGAAAGTATTCAGACCCCCTTAAATTTTTCACTCTTTGTTATATTGCAGCCATATGCTAAAATCATTTAAGTTCATTTTTTTCCTCATTAATGTACACACAGCACCCCATATTGACAGAAAAACACAGAATTTTTGACATTTTTGCAGATTAAAAAAGAAAAACTGAAATATCACATGGTCATAAGTATTCAGACCCTTTGCTGTGACACTCATATATTTAACTTAGGTGCTGTCCATTTCTGCTGATCATCCCTGAGATGGTTCTACACCTTCATTTGAGTCCAGCTGTGTTTGATTATACTGATTGAAC